GGGTTTTAGATGATCTTTACGTTGTGTTTCTGCAGCAACCTTCCTATTCTATCCGTGATGCCTTTAATGTATGGTAGGAAGGAGACTCCCGCAGGCGGTCTGCTTTTTTGTCGTGAAACCTGTTCTATTTGTTCCCTGCGATAGCCGTTTGCCTGTAAACCATGTTAACATGATCCAGCTCTGCCTGCAGGTATTGAGGTTCACAAATTCGATGTGCCATGTCTATCATAATTTTAATGACACCTCTTTTTTGCCCAGGATGATGGTTGGAGTCCTTGTGTAGATATCTGTCAGTGTTTGTTGTTTTGCGGTAAATCCTGTGACCCTGCTTTAAGTTCTCTCGTCTGACCACCAATACGCCTAGGAAGGCCAGCTGATTGTCCTCTTCTATCTCCATTGTGAATTTGATTTTGGGGTGAATGCTGTTTAGGTGATTTAGGAACACCGCCAGTTCTGTTCTTCCGTGGCTCCCTACCACGAAGGTATCATCCACATACCGTAGCCAACAACTGGGACGATTGCGAGCGGTGTTGAGTGCTGTTTCCTCGAACCTTTCCTGTACGTGTGTCAGGTCTAGTCGTCCATATGAGAGGGTTGGTCCATAAATATGGTTCTCCAAGGGACAAATCTAGTAACATGGATGCGCGCGGCTTTTTCATACCCTTGGTTTCCCCCCGCCCCCGGTCATGAATCATAAGGAGGCTCATATCGTTGAGATCCTTGAAAGTATGAGATTTTTCCTCAATTCGCCTTTTGCGTGCCAAAGGAACTCCACACGTGGATATTTATTGATTGTTGACACATGTACGGCGACAGGACTGTGTATGTTCACCACGCCCTAAAAAGGTATTGCGAGCCTATTGCCGGTCGGAAGGAGGTCCAAGGCGAACAATGGAGGGGAATACTATCCGTTTCGAAGGCAGTTATCATGATGGACCAACGAGAAGTATTTGGAAACACGAGGATGAGGATTACTGTCAGTGAACTTGTTGCTCAGATTGCTAGGAGTTCACGAACGCTGATCCTCCTCTTTTGTAACACTTCTCTTTGGAGCATCTCAATAACTGCCTCCCAAACTGACGCTCTCCCTTTCTGTTTCTCAACGTAGACTTCCTTCTGATAGACATTAAGCGCTCTGCATCACTTTCGGACTTGTTGCCATGTACGTTGTACGTCTCTCAATCGACTATGAATATCGACGGGTGTAGTCTCTTTGTCATGCAGAAACCGAATCTCCACTTGGCGAGATTAACAATGGGAACCTCCATATCAAACGGCAGCTGAGCCAAGAGTCACCGGCGTAGCGAGGCGCGGTCGGGGGAATCAAGATTGGGAGATCAACCCCCGTGTGTACGAGGCAGTAAGCAAGGAAGGCATGCAGAGTATAAAGAGGAGGTTGAGTTTACATGGCATTGTATACGGCTACATAAAAAATGACAGTTATCTTTTTTGATCAGTATTTATATTACCGAGATGAAAATGCATTATGATAGTATTGCTAGCTCCGAAAACATTGATTAGCTGAAACGGCCCATTATTTGATGGCGTTCAGCAAAAAACCTTTGTTGTGTTTGTGCAATTTCAAATCTGGTGTGATTTTGTTCTATAAGTGCATTTGCAGGTCATTTCAAGGTCGTATTAAGAACATTTTCAGAAAAAGCCAAGCAGCTGATCTTAACCACATGTCATATTAGTTTTCCACCTCAGTACGCCAGAACCAGAGGACAATATATCACGATAGGGTCATCTGAATGTCATTTCAAGGACAGATTCAAAATAAGTCCGGCATACGAGTCCATACGCGAGGTTTTCAGGGCTGTTGAGTGCAAACGAGAGATGAGTTTGTCTCTACGAACGAGTCTGAAAGGAAGTTTAAGGCCTTGCAAAGGACAAATTTGATAAAGTTGGATAACAGTTTTCGATTACCAGCAATAATACGACAGTGTGAAGGTTGTATTTTTCGATCGTTTGCAAACGTTAGCAAAAAACGCCACTGCACTTTATCTGGCAGCAATTCAAGGTCCACAAAAATCATTTACTTTAGCTGCGGCAATAGGTGGAACCCTATCAGAAGCCCCTATGAATAACACTAATATAAAGAAGGGAAGCTAAAAATAGCAATTTGTTCAATTCATCAATACACGAAAACCGCAATAATGATAGATTCTAATTACATCGAATGAAAGTTCGTGCGCCGTTTATTATGATCCATTTTCAGATGCTCAAATATTCAACACTCAACACACACATACACACACAGAAGTTCTTAAATTTCGCCGTTAACAAGTAGTGTCGAATGATACACCACAAATTTCAAGTTTAATAGTCTGCCATGGTAAGATACTATAAGGAAAGTGCTGGCTCCATGGCTAAATTATTGACAGGTTTGGATCACTGTGCAACGGTACGGGGCATTCCATTTCGGATACAAAACAGGTTCATATTTTCTCTTTTCTTTTAGTTCGCTATAACTAAACGTCTCACTACTCATTTCAACATGATGAACAAACATAACGTTGTCTGAAATTCGTCGTTCTTGCAAACTGCAACTATATGGAGATGTTATGCAATCTCGAAATATTCTAGAAGTAATGGAGGGTTATTTAGTTGAAAAATAGCTGAACGCAATGTAGCTGTAGTAGCATCCGCAGCGTCTTTATGATGGCGGTGGTGAAGCCAGGGTTCATCCCATCCACTGTGCGTCAATTAGTGTGAAGATGCTGCTGAACCTGGGTTATACACCTTGTTGTGCTAATGGATGGCTTTTCAGTTCGTATGTTAAACGTTTACTCATCCCTCGTATTGTTGTTATATGAATGATTGCAAAGGTAAAGAGCATACCATTTGCTCTGCCATTGTAAATTTTATTTACCCAGGCATTCTTACTGCCTTTTTAAAAGCAATAAGCTCTTAATGCTGGAGTATCTCAAACAGGCAGAACGATGAAGTTTTCTGTCCGAAACCACCAAAAAAATAATAAAGTACTACATTTTATGGCTACTGATGTGTGAGCAAAGCTATCCTAACTCAAAATTCAATATACATGATATAAATTTGCAGTTAAGATACTACTATCCTTCATTGCAACACTTATATTAAGAGAGCAAGACTGCCACAACACAGATATGATAGTCTTACACTCACTAGATGAATGCTGCAGCACAACCCTTATATCGCATAGCGGAATAACATTGAATCCATACCAACAGTAGAATCGCATTACTCAGGGGCCCAAACAAAAAGGTACTTTGAGAAGAATTTTCCTTTGAATACATTATACAAACTCTGCTGCGGTCAAAATAAAAATAGACTCATAGCTACAACATATCTCGATGTAGTTAATACCATGGAAAACATAAATACCATTACCCACACGTTTTTGATTGCCGGTCCCACACAAAATGAGGGTGACAATATGAATTCTGCCATTGAAAGCGAGAAGAACAGAATACTAAAAGCTATCAGCAGCTGCACAGTGGATACCCATCATCGCCCTTGCAAAAAAACTGGCACACCTTATGTTGTAAACGAAGTCCAACAAAGTGACATTTATGATATAAAAACATTGACCAGTCAAGTAGGAAAACAATTTTCCAAAATCACCAAAAATGAATAAAATACATGGAATAACATTAAAATACTTCAGGTTAGAAAAGATTCCCCACAAAGAATATTTTATTAAACAAGCTTTGAAGCAAAAACATTTGAGGAAATGACGATTAATCAGTACAAAAGGATTAAAGTGTCAGAGAGAAACGCCTACAATGGACCTCTCGGCATGAGTAAAAAGAAAAAATATGGCTTGCTATATCTTTGCAAGAAGCAGTATCATGACAAAGACACGTCGGAAACCGAGTAATCATCAGCACATGGACCTGTATGTACTGTATTGTTTATTGCAACGTTATCTGCTAGTGCTTTGTATTTAATAAGTTGCTTTTTTCAAAAATGTTGCATTTTGTTTCCATTGAGTAAGCAGTATCATATGTGGCAAATTTTGTGTCATTACCTCCAGCCACTTCGCTGCAAGACTATCTTAACCTGCCTGTAGTCGCGCCGGGTCTGACTGATCCATATGCTTCTAAAACCTACCACTGCGTATATGTGACAAGACTGCCCTATGTATCCTTCCCACTACCTTCCTATATTGTGATGAAGATTATATTCTGTTGTTAGTGTCAGCGCAGCCGCAAAGCTGAGTGTGTTGTTACATGTTTCCGATTTCAGACCCAGCGCGACTGAATACAGATTTCTCGCAGTGCCAAGACTTAAGCCGCGTATCGATTACGCGCTCCTGGAGCGCGCGCGAGGAATGACCGCGCTGCGAATGCGTTCCGTGAAACGCGTTCGATTTGTTTAAGGTATATCAACTAAGCGCTCATGGGGCGCGTGGCGACCGTTCCAGTGTTTTACCGTTCAGCATGGATGTTGGTCGTGTACGAGCAGCTGCCGCGTTTATTCTTATTGACAATATTATACACAAGAAAAAACAGAAACGAAAAAAGCGTTGGTGGATGAAAGAATTGTCCGAAATAGACTGCAGTATGCAGTGAGACTTATGAGAGATATGGAGTTTGAAGCTGTTGATGACAATAACAAACTTTACAAGGATGTCAACAGAGGACTTTAATCAATTGAGAAATTTGATTGAGCCAAGGGCAAACAAAATAGACACCCAGTTTCAAGAAGCTATTACACTGACCGAAAGGTTGGCTATAACCTTAAGATTTTTAGCCACTGGGGACTCTTATACTAGCCTTCAGCACCTCTTTAGGGTTTCAAAACAATGTTTATCTAGAATAGTCCCTGAAGTTTGTGATGTCATCAGTGAGGTTTTGAAGGATTGGGTAAAGGTGAGTAAAGAAATCGAAACATTAAGAAAGTTCTTTTTATCCAACTAACTCTTATAATAATAATTATTGTAATAATAATAATTGTCCATTATCATTAGGTGACATTGTGGCTGAGGAATCATCATGTAAAGTAGGTGTTGAGGAACTTTAAGTTTCTTGTTGTGTCGTGTACTGATACGTTGGACGGTACTTGCCTAAATCAGCCTCAAAAATGACATGATTTATTGGTTGTTTCACGTATATTAAAGTGTGATTGTCATACTTTCTCAATTCATTTGCTATGTGTTGGCCATAACTGAAATATGGATCAGTAGCTTGAGACGTTTCAGTAAGAATTTTAAATGCTTCCGTCAACATTTCGTTTTCCTCTTCATCATGTTTTCGTTTCTTTGCGTTCTTCTTAGCAGGTTTTTCTGGAACCTTGGAGGTATCAACCTCTTTTGATTGTTCATTCATATTATCAGACCACCCTGCAATATTTTCTTCATTATTTTGTTGTAAAGTTTCTTCTGGAGTTCCTTGTGAAGATTCTCCTTCATTATGTGATGTAGGTTCCTGGAAAAACGTGCGAATATTTATTGAAGTATTTTTTACAGATCCGCACCTCAGAGGAAGAATAGTTGAAAATTGCGGAAGAATTTGAAGAAAAATGGAATTTTCCTCATGCTATAGGTGCCATGGATGGAAAACACGTTATGATACAAGCACCTGTTAACAGCGGCACGGAATATTATAACTAATGGGTGATTTTTTTGCTAGTATCTTTTTGGCTGTTTTTGACAGATGACGCGTGAATCGTGTCTTGTGTCATTGTCAAACTTATTCAGTTTATAATTTAACCATGAATCGACTTACGAACGAACAGCGCTTGCAAATTATTGAATTTTACTACCAAAATTCATGCTCGGTTAAGAGAGTGAGTGCATCGAGCACTGCTTCCAATTGATGGGCAATTTGGTCGGCCTACTGAGGGAGCTATTCGGAAGCTTGTGACTAAATTTCGAACCCCGTTTACATTATTGGACATTAAACCACCAACACGCAGACGTAGAGTGAGGACTGAAGAAAATATAGCGGCTGTATCCGCCAGTGTGAAAAAATCACTGTTTGGTGTGGATTATGGGCCGGTGGCGTCATCGGGCCGTACTTCTTCAAAGACGACAATGGCCGTAACTGTGAATGGCGAGCGCTACCGTGCGATGATAACAAACTTTCTTTTACCCAAAATGGAAGAGCTGGACTTGGCTGACATGTGGCTTCAACAAGACGGTGCCACATGCCACACCGCAGACGAAACAATGGCCCTATTGGGAGGCGAGTTCGGTGAACAGTTTATCTCACGTTTGGGGCCCGTCAATTGGCCGCGTGATTTAACGCCGTTAGACTATTTCTTGAGGAGCCATGTTAAGGCTAATGTCTACAGGGATAAACCAGCAACGATTGACGTACTGGAAGCCAATATTGAAGCATTTATTCGTGAGACAGCGGCCGATATACCTATTGTAGAGAGTGTGCCAAATTGGACCTTGCGCATGGGCCATCTGAAGCGGAGCCGCAGCGAACATTTACATGAAATAATCTTTAAACATTAAATTGTATCGACCGTTCTATCGACTCAAATAAAGATTTAATCGTTTTTTCAAATTTTTTGTGTTTTTTTTGAAAATCAAATCACATACCTCTTGAAAAATCACCCGTTATAAACATTTTTTTAGTATCGTCCTCTTTGCACTCGTAGACGCATATTACTGTTTTAGATACGTTGACATTGGTTGTCAAGGAAGACATTCTGACGGACGGATCTTTAAACATACTGCATTATACAAAAAACTCGAAGAAAAGTCTATGAAAATTCCTCAGCCATCTATACTCCAAATACCATATGCCTTTAAAGTGCCATACGTAATTTTGGCAGACGAAGGTTTCGCACTAAATGAATACACAATGAAACCATTCCAAGGGGAGCCAGAGATAGGGTCTATTGAAAGAGTGTTTAACTACCGTCTGTCAAGAGGACGTAGAGTGGTGGAAAATGCTTTCGGAATCGCAAGCTCGGTTTTTAGAGTTTCAAGGAATGATAATGATAAAGCTAGAAAAGTGGTTTTAGCTTTTATACATTTACACAACTTTTTGAGAAAAAATCCAGTTCCCAATACACGCCACATGGATCTTTAGACATGGAGACCGATACTGAAATAATACTTGGAAGTTGGAGAAATGACAATTAATCTTCATCATTACTTCATATCACTAATTTACCACGTAGAAGTGGAAATGGCGCTCAAAAAATACGCTTACGTCTTGCAAAACATTTCGATACTAATGGAGGAATACCATGGCAAAATAGGTATTAAAAATATTTGACATGATTTACGTACCTGCATAGTGTCTGTTGTGTCATTGGGTGTAAGCTTGTCTTGCATGAAACTGAAATCGTCAAAACTAAACCATTTTGATACATAAATACTATCTCGACCTGTAAGCAATAAACAATTAAAATAGGTATGAGAAGTTGATTAGTTTTATTTAGAGTGAACCAACGAAATACTTAAATTGGTTTTTGTTTTATATTAAATACAAATAGTTATCAGAAATTATATTTAAACAAAATATTATTGTTCAGGCATAAATATCAGTGTAGATAATTACCAGAGCCAGTAATTTGGCTTTTAGATAATCTCCATTTTTCTCTTCTGTAAGATGACAAGAGCACGGTCATTTTTTTCTTCAGTTCTGGCACAGATACTCCTATTTCAGCTCTTATTTCTCTCCATGCATCTTCTCTGAGCGCTTTATCATGATAAAAACGACTTTTGCTATTCCACAATAATTCTTTTGAACCGTACATTTTAATCAATTTACGGCAAGTTTGGTTACCCATAGCTCAGAGCGCAAATAACACTTAAGCCGGAACAACCGTCTCAACTGGCGCGCGAGCCAATACTGAACCTCCTTTGATACGCGGTATAAAACCGACACCAGATGAAACGGTCCGCTCCACGTTTCACCGTTCCAACGAACAATTTGGCACGCGTTCCAAAGCGGCATCCATTTCACGCGGCTGGAGCGCGCGCCAATGTTCGACTTTATGGAGCGCGTAGTCGATACGCGGCTTTACGGGGAGAAAATAGGTTCTGAAAATGACAGCAATTAATTTGTCATTATTCATTAATTCAATGTTTCTTATCGATTATTATCTATGGGTACAATGTTTTATTTCAGTTTTCTTCTTTTCTTTGCCTTTAGTATAACATTTTGATGTAAATCTATTACGAGGTATTAATAAACGCATTTTATTTCGCCGATGTTCCATTTTTGAAAGTGTGGGTTGACATAATTATGTCAAACAATATACTGGTTCATGCGTTACTCTAGGCAAACGACTTTTTTGTACCAAAGAAAACGGAAAGTTCTGAGTACAAAACCGGGGCGCGGCTACAGGCGTTATCAACAATGCTGTATTTAAAGAAAGTTAGATAAACTTAGTGCAATTAAATCAAGCTATTACAATTATCAAGTGACTGCGAAAGAAAAATGGTTATCGTCCATAACTTTGTTAGCCTATAATAAAACTGGTAAATACATCCTTAAGCTCCTACCCTGGCTTTAGCCTTAAATTTTGAAAACATTCTGAACATCATAGTTCTTGTTCTTTATTAAAAGATGTATGCAATTCTTGAAAAGGCATCGTCTAATATATTATGTCTGTCCAAATACTCTGAACCTAAAAAGTGACCGAGACGAAAATACTCAGTCATTCTGGTAGAGAGCATTGAAGCATGAAATTTGCAGAGACTGGTTCTCCATTCCATAGTTCCACGCTCACAAAGAAAACTTTTTACATAAAGTTTTTACATTAGACCTTGAGAAATAAAAAGCTAGGATTTAAGAAGTTTTATTACACTCTTAATTAAAATGTTCTGCGTCAAAGTTTGATAATTAACAGATGCCCTTTGTTTATCTTTCTCTTTATCAAGTAAGCTATTACTGTAGGGAAGCTGGTAATGGATAGGTACTTTTTGTCCTTTCCATTAATTCTGAAAGCAAGAACTTTAAATGGCACCAATAAGAAGAAATGGAGAGAGGTCGATGGGTATCTGCGAAAAATTAGAAATTATAATAAATATAATCCAAATTCCATATATTCATTCTTCTCATCCCAGACACACAGCAGTTCAATTTGGCGATCAATACTACGAGGCAAACTGTTAGTGATATGCGAATATTTAAGGGTGTGAATCTAGATGAAACATTAATGTTAGTTTGCTTTATAAACTATGGTCCAAAAATGTTTCCTAACAAAAACTAGGGGTGTTTAAGTTTTAGAAAAAAAATGGAAATTAATTAATATTTTCAGAACAGCTTCAGATATTTGACTGATATTTAGTACGTAGTGAAAGTGATTGAAGTAGCATATCTTTCAATGCAAAAATAATTTTTAGCTTTAACAGTGGCGAGCGTGCGGGTATTGAGTTTGATATTTTTTAAGAAAAAAATGGTTCGGGAATAGTTTTTTGCCATATAAAAATTATTTTTGAACTCTCCGTTCAATTTAAAACAAATGATCTCTCTCGAATTGTTTTTCTTCATTGCGCCGTTTTTGAGTAAAAAAATAAAAGCCGTTCTATTGTCTAACTTGCAAAATTATTATTAATTTAATTGGAAAAATTAAGGGGCAATGAACAACGACAACTGACAACGTAAACATAGCATTAAAACCAACGAAATCATTACAAAAATTGTTGAAAATGGCCCCGTCCACTTAGTATGCATGCTTCCGCCCTCCTTCTCATGGAATTTCGCACTGGTTGAAATATCCCTGGAGTGTTTTGTATTCTATCACAAGCTGCAACTATTCTTTCTCTTAACTCCTCGACAGTGTTAATGGGACTTGTGTACACTAGCGTCTTAAGGTAGCCCCATGAAAATAAATCTAGACTGTTGAGGTCTGGGGTCCTTGGTGGCCATTCTTGGGGCCCACCGCGGCCAATCCAACGATTTGGATAAACGGTTTGTAAATAATTACGAACCGCTACACTGGAATGCGCTGGTGCACCATCATGCATGTACCATATATTGTTTCTTATTACTAACGGAACATCATCAAGCAGCAAAGGCAACTATTGTTGAAGAAAATTGAGGTAAGTCTGCCCGTCAAGTCGACCCGGCAAGAACAATGGGCAAACAAAGTGCTTGCCAATAATTGCTGCCCATAAGTTAACCGAAAATTGGTGTTGGAAATGGCTTTTGGTTACGGCATGGGGATTTTCTTCTTTCCGCAAATGATTATTGTGAATGGTTGATTCAAATTGCGGATTTTGTGTTATTTTTTTTTTAGATACCACTGACAAAAGGTCACACGCCTTGGAAAATCAAAAGAAAGTAATGCCTTTACTCTTAAAATATGGTAAGGATATAACAAAAAATCCGCTACAATTCTCCAAACAATTTGATGGCGAATATTTAAGTGTCTAGCGATCTTCATCGTACTCATTTCAGGATGATTTTCGACTTCGTGCAGCACTGCTTCCTCAATTTCAGGTGGTCTCACACTTAGAGGTCTACCTTCAGATGTTCCTTTTCGGACAGAACCAGTTTCAACATGGCGACGATGAATATTAGAAAAGGTTCGACTATCTGGCCAAGCACGATCGGGATACCTCTGGTGATAAATCCGTTTGGCTTGCTCACCATTACCGTCGGCAAGGCCATATACGTAATTCATTTCCGCCATTTCTGCATTCGAATAATTCACCATTATTAACAAGACTGTAAAAACTAAATAATGAAAAAGATGTCACAGCGAACAGATTTGAATAACAGAGACTTGTCAGATGTCAAAAGCCAGTGGGATATTCCAGAGCAACTAGATATTTATTGCTAAATTGCATTCTTAAATTATTACATTAATTTTCTCGGACACTAGAACGGTTTTCATTTCTTTACTCAAAAATGGCGTATCGAAGGAAAACAATTTAAGAGAGATCATTTGTTTTGAATTGAACGGGGAATTCAAAAATAATTTTTATTTGGCAAAAAACTATTGGTGTACCATTTTTTCTTAGAAAATATCGGTGTCAATACCCATACGCACGCCACTGTTACAGCTAAAAATTATTTTTGCATTGAAAAATATGCAAATTCATTAACTTTCACAACGTGCTCAATATCAGTGAAATATCTGAAGCTGTTCTGCAAATATTAATTAATCTCCATTTTTTTCCTAAAACTTCGACACCCCCAGTTTTTGTAAGGAAACATTTTTGGATCATAGTTTATGAAGCAAACTAACATTAATTTTTCATGTAGATTCACACCCTTAAATATTCGCACATCATTAAGGAACACCCTATAGGTCCATGTGGTATCCGGCTAAGTATTTGAGTCCAAATGTAGTGGTTTCCGAATTTCCGTCCCAGCTCCCGTTTATAGCACAGCGATCCAGGCCTACCAGCGATGCGCCTGTATCAGCGGACTGCAGGTGGTTCTATTAGGAGATACGGTTAACTTTTAATTAAACACAGTGAGATAAATGCAAATGGGGAAGGGGAGGAGCCTCCCTAAATTAATTTGATAACACGAGGTGCTCAGGTATACACATTCCGGTGTGCCGTTAGCGTGCAATCAGCATTTTGACGCGCGACCCTGTCGAGTGGGATGGTATCTGCACATGCAAATGTGTTCCTCTGTTACTTTTCCCTACGTTTCATTGCAAACACCTTGATTCGTATGTTGGTGCGTATGCCTTCCCTTTTTACACATCGTATACCTCTTACAGAAATAAGCAAAGGGTTAGGGTCTATGAGGAGGCTTCCCAGAACTGAGTTCTTACTTTTTCATTATATGCACTTTAAGTTCAGTGCAAATGTAAAATGATATGGATGTACAGGTATATGAGAAATTCAACACAGATGTACTTAACTTCTGTGCAACATGACATCATATTAGCTGCGGATTATATGTCGTATGACTGTTTGGGCAGTAAATATAAAACTAAATTTGATCAGCTTCACTCTTGAGACGCATTCGCATCTCTAGTCACTATAACCAGCATTCCGACTTTCCTTTACTCTCCAATAAGCTCGGAGAATCTGATGTTTTAAAGAGTGTTTGTAGAGTTGCAACCATGCAACTAGAATATGTTTGCTTTGTACTTTTTATATCTAAAGTAATGGCAGATTCACATGATTCACTGCGTGGACATGGAGTTGTTCGTGGATCTATCAATGTTTCACTATCATGTACAGAATGCAATCCAACATCTATGTCTTTCGAGCTAACAGGAATGGCCCCGCTATTGCTTAATATTTTTCTTTCAGCTTTTTTATGTGCGTATAGCATCTAAGACAAACTTTGGAAGAATTTTAAAAATGTTTATTGTTACCCATCAGAAATGAAAAGCGTCAAGATTAGTCACAAGTCTTGCAAGTTGTCATCTTCATTTTTCTTGAACAGCAATCATAGATAACATGTTATATGCTCACAAGATTCACTGTAACAGCTTATATTAAATAGATAACAAATGCTTGCTAACTCTGAACAACACTAGCACTAACACTTGAGGTTATGTCACAAATATCAATTTATACCAAATTTTTCATGCTTTTGATTTATGTCATCTGCTTGATCAACCTGAAATTTCCTATAGTTTAAAAAGGAACATAACTTCGCAATAGGAGAGTGCTGATGTTGACACAGAACAACAATTCCCATAAAGGCATCCTACAAGGTGTCCTACAATTGTGTTGCTTTTGATTTATATCATCTGTCTCAACAGTTCTACTGTCCTACAATTAAAAAAACATAACTTCACAATAGGAGAGCACTGACGCTGACACGGAAGGGAAGATATCTTGAAATACCCCAGCCTTTCGGAAGGAGAGAAAATAATATGAAAATCAAGGAGGACATAAAGGCGTCTTACAATTATTGTAGGAATATGATATTTTTGAAAATTTGGAAGTACACGAGGGATGTCTTTTAAGTTTTGCACATGGAAATAAAACAACACGGTAGGTAGTTTTATATGACTTTATTGTTTTTCGAAGTATTCTCCACGAAGATTAATACACATCTGCATGCGCTCGAACCAATTTTCGAAACACTCATTCCACTCGTTTGCTGGCAGATCCAAAACGGCATTTTTGACTGCGTCAACTGCTTCTTCTGATGACTGGAACCTTTAACCACGCAGTCTGTTTTTAATTTTCGGGACAGTAAATAAATCGTTGGGACTTAGATCGGGACTATATGGAGGATGGTCCAATAATTCCACGTTTTCTTCCGTTAAATACTGTCTTGTTTTTTGGGCTGTGTGCGAGCTTGCATTGTCTTGGTGGAGGATGACTCTTCTTTCGGGGTTGATTTTTCGAAGCCCGGTGATGACTTCTGACAAAGAAATGTTGGTATACCAATCCACAGTAACAGTTCTTTGGACATTAGGAGGAATTTTAGCAATATGACCCGCTTTTGTTGGATTTTCTTCACCTTGGAACACTCAAACAGCCGACTGTCGTTTATTTTCTGGTTCAGAACAGTAAATCTACGATTCATCACCACTAACAAAGCTGTAAACATTTTTTGAGATTCCGTAATTGAGACGGTCAAGCGTTTTTTGACACCAATTAACCCTGGCTACTTTCTGCTCTTCAGTCAACAGGTGGGATATCCAACGAGAAACTAATTTTCTTCCTCCTAATTCTTCATGTACATTTTTTTGAATTGAGGTCTTTGAGATCCTCAAGGACGCCTCAATCTCGCGATATGTCACATGTCTATCTTCAATGATGAGTTTGCGCACAGCATCGACGTATTCCTGGGTAAATGCCGTTTCTGGTACACCCACCCTGGGATCTCGCTAAGACTCACCGGTCCACGTTTGAATTCTCCTCACCAACGGGAAATTGCCGTAACTCAGCAAGGCATTCTTGTTGCGATAATTGTCTCTGAAAGTTGCAATAGATTATGGCGCGAAAATGTTCTCGGTTGAGTTCCATTTTTCTAATGACTTGGTGACACTTAAAAATTCACTTATTGTTGTGAAACTTTGAATTTAAGTTTACTAAAGAGTGAGGTTAAGATTCAGTACTGACGTTCGATCCGCGGTGCCTACTATGTTTCTATATGCAAAACTTAAAAGACATCCCTCGTACTAATGTCGATGGGACAACGGCAGCTACAATATTTTCAAGACGGTGGCACTTCCGGTTATGCCGGAAGTTGAGGCCAACTTGCTTATTTTGAATTGGACACCCTCAATATTCGGATTCTACATAGAATTCAAATCTAAGCTTCTAAGCTTCTAAGAAATTGTTTATTAAGTATCCGTTTTGGGGCGGGGCACCATTATGTTGATAGAAAACATTTCGATGATCAGCAAGTAGTAAATTATCCAGATAATTGTTTTCTAAATTCCGAAGAATGTTAAAATAACCTCCACCTAAATATATTATTGGTTATTAATAATAATAATATTTATAACTGCATAACGTTTTCTTTAGTATCCAAATATTTTTAAATGAGATAATTTAGTACTAATGTTGGCAATGCTGAGCTTATATGTTAAAAAAATTATACTACTGGTATTTTGCATATTGAACATTCTTATCAGTTTCTTTTATTAAAAAACTGTTAATTGCTAACTTATCATTTAAATTTTCTTCATAAAACTGTAGAGAGACAACTTGAGTATCTCTGACAGCCCAGTATACACGAAAAATATATTCGGAGATGACGCCATTAGTGATCGAACAGCACAGAAGTGGTTCAAAAAATTTTCTTCGGGAGATCTCAGTTTGGTCTTCCTGAGCGCGATTCATCGATCAAACTGAGATCTCCCGAAGAAAATTTTTTGAACCACTTCTGTGCTGTTCGATCACTAATGGCGTCATCTCCGAATATATTTTTCGTGTATACTGGGCTGTCAGAGATACTCAAGATGTCTCTCTACAGTTTTATGAAGAAAATTTAAATGATAAGTTAGCAATTAACAGTTTTTTAATAAAAGAAACTGATAAGAATGTTCAATATGCAAAATACCAGTAGTATAATTTTTTTAACATATAAGCTCAGCATTGCCAACATTAGTACTAAATTATCTCATTTAAAAATATTTGGATACTAAAGAAAACGTTATGCAGTTATAAATATTATTATTATTAATAACCAATAATATATTTAGGTGGAGGTTATTTTAACATTCTTCGGAATTTAGAAAACAATTATCTGGATAATTTACTACTTGCTGATCATCGAAATGTTTTCTATCAACATAATGGTGCCCCGCCCCAAAACGGATACTTAATAAACAATTTCTTAGAAGCTTAGAAGCTTAGATTTGAATTCTATGTAGAATCCGAATATTGAGGGTGTCCAATTCAAAATAAGCAAGTTGGCCTCAACTTCCGGCATAACCGGAAGTGCCACCGTCTTGAAAATATTGTAGCTGCCGTTGTCCCATCGACATTAGTACGAGGGATGTCTTTTAAGTTTTGCATATAGAAACATAGTAGGCACCGCGGATCGAACGTCAGTACTGAATCTTAACCTCACTCTTTAGTAAACTTAAATTCAAAGTTTCACAACAATAAGTGAATTTTTAAGTGTCACCAAGTCATTAGAAAAATGGAACTCAACCGAGAACATTTTCGCGCCATAATCTATTGCAACTTTCAGAGACAATTATCGCAACAAGAATGCCTTGCTGAGTTACGGCAATTTCCCGTTGGTGAGGAGAATTCAAACGTGGACCGGTGAGTCTTAGCGAGATCCCAGGGTGGGTGTACCAGAAACGGCATTTACCCAGGAATACGTCGATGCTGTGCGCAAACTCATCATTGAAGATAGACATGTGACATATCGCGAGATTGAGGCGTCCTTGAGGATCTCAAAGACCTCAATTCAAAAAAATGTACATGAAGAATTAGGAGGAAGAAAATTAGTTTCTCGTTGGATATCCCACCTGTTGACTGAAGAGCAGAAAGTAGCCAGGGTTAATTGGTGTCAAAAAACGCTTGACCGTCTCAATTACGGAATCTCAAAAAATGTTTACAGCTTTGTTAGTGGTGATGAATCGTAGATTTACTGTTCTGAACCAGAAAATAAACGACAGTCGGCTGTTTGAGTGTTCCAAGGTGAAGAAAATCCAACAAAAGCGGGTCATATTGCTAAAATTCCTCCTAATGTCCAAAGAACTGTTACTGTGGATTGGTATACCAACATTTCTTTGTCAGAAGTCATCACCGGGCTTCGAAAAATCAACCCCGAAAGAAGAGTCATCCTCCACCAAGACAATGCAAGCTCGCACACAGCCCAAAAAACAAGACAGTATTTAACGGAAGAAAACGTGGAATTATTGGACCATCCTCCATATAGTCCCGATCTAAGTCCCAACGATTTATTTACTGTCCCGAAAATTAAAAACAGACTGCGTGGTTAAAGGTTCCAGTCATCAGAAGAAGCAGTTGACGCAGTCAAAAATGCCGTTTTGGATCTGCCAGCAAACGAGTGGAATGAGTGTTTCGAAAATTGGTTCGAGCGCATGCAGATGTGTATTAATCTTCGTGGAGAATACTTCGAAAAACAATAAAGTCATATAAAACTACCTACCGTGTTGTTTTATTTCCATGTGCAAAACTTAAAAGACATCCCTCGTGTACTTCCAAATTTTCAAAAATATCATATTCCTACAATAATTGTAAGACGCCTTTATGTCCTCCTTGATTTTCATATTATTTTCTCTCCTTCCGAAAGGCTGGGGTATTTCAAGATATCTTCCCTTCCGTGTCAGCGTCAGTGCTCTCCTATTGTGAAGTTATGTTTTTTTAATTGTAGGACAGTAGAACTGTTGAGACAGATGATATAAATCAAAAGCAACACAATTGTAGGACACCTTGTAGGATGCCTTTATGGGAATTGTTGTTCTGTGTCAACATCAGCGCTCTCCTATTGCGAAGTTATGTTCCTTTTTAAACTATAGGAAATTTCAGGTTGATCAAGCAGATGACATAAATCAAAAGCATGAAAAATTTGGTATAAATTGATATTTGTGACATAACCTCAAGTGTTAGTGCTAGTGTTGTTCAGAGTTAGCAAGCATTTGTTATCTATTTAATATAAGCTGTTACAGTGAATCTTGTGAGCATATAACATGTTATCTATGATTGCTGTTCAAGAAAAATGAAGATGACAACTTGCAAGACTTGTGACTAATCTTGACGCTTTTCATTTCTGATGGGTAACAATAAACATTTTTAAAATTCTTCCAAAGTTTGTCTTAGATGCTATACGCACATAAAAAAGCTGAAAGAAAAATATTAAGCAATAGCGGGGCCATTCCTGTTAGCTCGAAAGACATAGATGTTGGATTGCATTCTGTACATGATAGTGAAACATTGATAGATCCACGAACAACTCCATGTCCACGCAGTGAATCATGTGAATCTGCCATTACTTTAGATATAAAAAGTACAAAGCAAACATATTCTAGTTGCATGGTTGCAACTCTACAAACACTCTTTAAAACATCAGATTCTCCGAGCTTATTGGAGAGTAAAGGAAAGTCGGAATGCTGGTTATAGTGACTAGAGATGCGAATGCGTCTCAAGAGTGAAGCTGATCAAATTTAGTTTTATATTTACTGCCCAAACAGTCATACGACATATAATCCGCAGCTAATATGATGTCATGTTGCACAGAAGTTAAGTACATCTGTGTTGAATTTCTCATATACCTGTACATCCATATCATTTTACATTTGCACTGAACTTAAAGTGCATATAATGAAAAAGTAAGAACTCAGTTCTGGGAAGCCTCCTCATAGACCCTAACCCTTTGCTTATTTCTGTAAGAGGTATACGATGTGTAAAAAGGGAAGGCATACGCACCAACATACGAATCAAGGTGTTTGCAATGAAACGTAGGGAAAAGTAACAGAGGAACACATTTGCATGTGCAGATACCATCCCACTCGACAGGGTCGCGCGTCAAAATGCTGATTGCACGCTAACGGCACACCGGAATGTGTATACCTGAGCACCTCGTGTTATCAAATTAATTTAGGGAGGCTCCTCCCCTTCCCCATTTGCATTTATCTCACTGTGTTTAATTAAAAGTTAACCGTATCTCCTAATGGAACCACCTGCAGTCCGCTGATACAGGCGCATCGCTGGTAGGCCTGGATCGCTGTGCTATAAACGGGAGCTGGGACGGAAATTCGGAAACCACTACATTTGGACTCAAATACTTAGCCGGATACCACATGGACCTATAGGGTGTTCCTTAATGATGTGCGAATATTTAAGGGTGTGAATCTACATGAAAAATTAATGTTAGTTTGCTTCATAAACTATGATCCAAAAATGTTTCCTTACAAAAACTGGGGGTGTCGAAGTTTTAGGAAAAAAATGGAGATTAATTAATATTTCCAGAACAGCTTCAGATATTTCACTGATATTGAGCACGTTGTGAAAGTTAATGAATTTGCATATTTTTCAATGCAAAAATAATTTTTAGCTGTAACAGTGGCGGGAGATCTCAGTTTGATCGATGAATCGCGCTCAGGAAGACCAAAAATCATGAACAGCGTAGATCTTTAACAGGTTGTGAACGCAAATTCCAGGACAACGTGCCAAGAACTTGCAGAAATGCTCAGAGTGAGTCCTGGAGCTATTCGTCTGAATCTTCATCAGCTGGGAAAGACGTGGAAGTTAAGCAAATGGGTCCCACATGAACTGACAAATGATAACATATTGATATTTTTCTACTAAAAACTGCACTAACTTATTTGGTTACCTGATATGATAAGACCTTACGGCCTTTCTGGCCAATTGAATTCACTTTATTTCTGAAAGTACTGATACTACTCCTTGCACTACCCTCAATGTATTCATTCAGGATCCGACGTTCAAGTCAAAATTGTTTAATTCGATATAAAGACTGGTTATGACTAATTTGTAGCGCAGGCCTAAATCAATAAGCTGCCATCCACTGACATCCT